GTATTATCCGCTCTTGATTATAGGTGTCTATGTCATTTGCAAACATGGGTTTTAAGCAGTTGGAAGATAACGTGACGAATTCAGGCGCTCGAAGAAGAAATAGATAACATTTAATATTAACTGTGATGTTTTAGTGCAATAAAGTTATTTATAAAGCATATTTATTCTGGCTTGCAACAAACTCGCATCATAATCGCAATAGAACGGTTATAGGTTTAAATATGGCAGTGTCTAAACGACCGGACCCGGTTTCGGAGTCTTAAAAACTAAACAACCGGCTCTCTTCTCTGATTGGTCAGTTTCCGAACATAACACTATTAACAGGACAAATATATAATAGGACAATGTTAAATGCAACACATAAAGAAAGAAAATAAAATAAAATTAGCCAAAAATATTAAAAAATAAAATAAGTAAGTGACAAAATTAGCAAATCAGAGAAGAGAGCTGGTTGTTTAGTTTTCAGGACTCCGAAACCGGATCCGGTTGTTTAGACACTATTTTTAAGGATTGAGCGATAGAGGGGCGAAATGAGTCAAATGACTGTACAGTCCAGAAGATAGTCGTCGGTCCGATTCGGCTGCTGTTGATGGGAATTCGAGTTCATATTAAAGAGACAATTACAAAAAACGTGTCTCTCATTCGAAGAAAAATAATGTTCTAAATATTTATCACGCTTTACAAACGTAGAACAGCATAATTACAGTAATATCATAATTAGGTAATTTTTCTTTCCAGTGCCAATCGTCTCGCTGTAACAGGATAAACGTGCAGAGGACACGGAGAATCAACACGTCGAAAACTTATCCGTCGAAGGAACTTGAACTTCGTGCGGCGATGGAATGGTTACCGGCCCCCTGGTTAAGTGGAACATTGCCTCGTAGACAGCTCTTCACCGCACATGCAATGAAATATTTGCGTGTCGGCTATATACCAATGATTATACGTTACCATCGTGTTTTCAACGTAAGTTCGACATTTCCTTACAAACTTATTAAATAGATGTAGATTTTGTCGCCGCAGCTATTATTACGTTTTTGTGGCAATTTCGAATTCGACTTTGAAATATTCACTCGTTATCATGAGCATTATATGGAATCTTGTGCCTTTTGCTCTATCTCCATCCATGGATGGATCGCTATGGCAATGATGTGTAATATGATCAGATTTATATAGATTTATCGTATGATATTGTACACAGAGACAAGATGGTCATGTGTCTGTTTAACGTGAGAGATCCGTCACAATATGATGAAACCCTGTGGAAATTCGGTATTTTCTGCTTTATTCCGTATATATGCGCACTTTATAATTATTTCCGACACTAGTATCCCGTCTCATCTGGATGGGGCGCCGATGTCAAATTTGACAATTTCGTTTACTGATTGCATTGTGTAATGCGATGGATGGTGCGCCTCCAGCGATAAAGTGGTACAATGTAAAAGTATGTAAAGAAGGTAATAGATACATAGATAGATAGATAGATGCGCACACACGCGCACGCACGTACGCACACACACACACGCACACACACACACACACACACACGCGCTGCGCGCACGCGCGCCACACACACACACACACACACGCACATCGTTGGATGAATGGATGGATGGATCGATGAATGGATAGATAGATAGATAGATGGATAAATAAATAGATAGATAGATGCAATTTTGGTTAGTGCGTCTGTGGAATAACGCGTACGGTTTTCGGTGCACGGTACAGGATTTAGTCTCCCCTAACTTATCATGCCGGTATTCCACCTTGTTTTCGTATATGCTGGTCACTAGTATAATGTGTTTTCACTGATATAATATTAGGTAAAGTCCCATCGATCTTTTCGAACCATAAGTATCGTGTAAATCGAGAGTTAACTGAATTCTCTTCCTAAGTATTTGACGTTGTTTACACTACTGTATCGCTTGGAATCGTGCAGTTTCGCGTTTTACTTGTATGTCTATTTATAACATTGCGTTTATATTCCTGTTCTTTCTATGCACGTCCACGAGCATGCGCAGTAGCGTGTGCCAGGCGCGGATTTAGGCCGATTTGCACCGGTTTCCAGAAACCGGTCACAGGCTGGGTATCTTCAGAATTGACCCTCAAAATTCACCAGAATGCACCAAATATAGCCTTCTTTTTTTTTTATTCCCGGGGGGCATGCCCCCGGACCCCCTAGCTGTGACTAGAACTATGGAAACTGGTCACCCAAACCCTCTGGATCCGCCCCTGTGTGCGTTCATGTTTAATTGGGTTTATAATAAATCTACGTTAACTACAATTTGGATGCTTTATTTTATATAATTATTTGGAAACTGGCCACAATATTCTTTTCAAAATCGTCGTAGTTTTCAGTAAAAGGTAATGTGCTAGGACACTACTGTGCCGTGACCCACTGGTTGCCGTGGTGGGATTCGAACGCGTACTTACGGAACGAAATCATTGGGCTAACGGGCGCCCCCAATATAGAAAAACGACATGTTCCTTATATACTGGAGAAATGGCAATTTAGACAAGATTTCAGTAAAGAAGTTACTGAGATTCGAACACATCATAGCTTGTAGTCTAGGACTTTCACCACTATGCTATCCAAACAAGCTTCAAGTCAATTGGTTAGCAAGTGTCTATTATATTTACCTTTACACAAACTAGAAAATATTTTAGCAAAGAATTAGCGGGGATTCGAATCCAGTTTTCATAGATGACTGTCTAGAGTTCTAACCATAACACTATACAGACATTCTCGTAAATGTACGTCGTTTTACATAGATACATACGTACATTACGGACGCGACAATTCCTAGCCCTCTTTCTTCTCTTTCTAATATTTTTCTATCTAGTTACTTTTCTCGCCTTCTCGCTCATTCTCTGTGAAACTCGCCCTCTCACACACACTCGCAATAGACGTGATCTAGCCATAGAAACCATAGATATATACAAACACGTTTGTATGTGTTTACAATGTGTTTAAATACATGTGTTTGTATATATCTACGATCTAACTAACTAATTCTATATATACATACATACATGCATGCACGCACACGCACGCGCACGCACGCACACATAATCAGAAGTGAATAAAGGCGCAAATTGGTTTACTATATTATCCAATACAAACGCGCTGTTTTCACAAACAGCTGCAATAAAACTAAGGAAGAACAGAATTATCTTTACCTTTCTTTTTAAGTGTATACGTACAAGCACTCAGATACAGAATTGTATACAGCAACGGGAAGAGAGATGCAGATTGCAAAATGAGACAAGAATGAAGAGCTACCTTCTATCCACCGTCTTTCGATTACACGTACAAACACTCACATACCGATAGTAAAGCTTGTTTAATTAACACGTCCTTACAGAGTATGTACAGCAATGAATACCTATGGTGTCAAGTGATTTATACATATAAATCTTGGCTTTATGAATGTGACATATATGAATGTGTACATATGTGAGTTCATGAATTTCGACTACATTTTCCTTGTTGATAAAATAACAACTGACGTGGGCATAACAAGTGACAAGGCAAATCTTTGAACAACCGCTGACATAAAACAGGACTCTATCTACCCCAAGGCGCAATACAACTAAAACGAAAACCTTATTAATGAAGTGCTGTCTTATTAAAGATGTCTTAATATACAACAACCTGCCTTCCAATATTTATAACAATACACGAGCACGATAACAAATTCACGTTGTATTGCAGCTGTTAAAGACAAAAGATGTGGTCAATCACTTATAAATATCATGCCTCACACAAAACTGAACTGAAACTGATAATTGCCTACAATAGTAAATAAGTACCTATGGCGAAACGATCATAGCATTTCAAGAAATGAGCAAATACACCTAGAACACGTACTAAATTCTACTGCTACAGTCAGCAAACAGCAGATGCTTTGCATGAGTTACAACGAAAAAGCACAGAGCATGGAAGTGACTGATAACGTTAGGTTAGACAAATAAAATGTTACATTAAAATGAGGACGACATCGACAATGAAGGTCACAAAATGAATCAAATTTCTCTTCGATTTGCGCATGAAAGATGCGTGCATTACAAATAAATAATAATAATCAACAAGGAGATAAAACTCCCAGTTCTGTTCATGATTATGTCACATCTCATCGCCCTTATCCTTTATGCAATTTACAAAGTCTACGTTGACAACCCTCCATCCATTACTGGCACCTTTCAATGTGGGGAAAAAGACACCTGCACAGTACTTTACTAATGAACTGAATGCAAGTCAAACGTTTAATTTATTACCTAGGCTCCAACTGAAAGTCACATTCGACTTATCAATTGAACTCAACTCAACTAGACAGTAACAGGGATGGACCCTTCAACCGCACACAAATGCCAGCAAATAGGGCGTATGTTAACGATAACCAGCTTACGACACTAACCACTGCTTCAATCATACACACACCCAATGCCAGCAGCCACCATCTAACTGAACGATGTCGTACACGCGCACTCACCTCCCTCGTTAAAAAAACTGCGATTATTTTACAATTAACTACACAATTTCCTCGTGGAAAACTCGCAGAAGATTCACGACCTCACCTCTCTGGAAACGGCCGCCCACCTTCACTACACGTGCCTACGTAACCACATATACGCATAGTAATAACTGGATGATTTCGCTCCAGCTGTGTTCCACCCGATCTCTATACAATTGCCCATACACGCTCACGTCGCGCGACAGCGTGTGGCCGACAGTAGAACAACAGCGCGCGAACTTACAACACAACAAAAACAACGAAATTAAAAAATGACGAATGAAAGAAAACGAAATGAACGTCTATAATGCTAACGTCCCATCCGTTCTCCTTTTCGAAAATGGATAAAACTGATGAGATATTTAAAATACGTGCGTCCGCCACGTTAAGAACGCAGGTGCTTGTGCCACATCTGCCCTCGCCTCTCCACGGACCGTCACGATGCGCCAGTGACGATCGACTGAAGGAAACACAAGAACAGCCGTTTCACCTGCGGTCGCGGTAGCGTCGGTCGCTGCTACGACTCATTCCCCGCGATGCTTTAGTTCTGCGTAGGAAGTCGTCGACCGATCTCTCAAACTGCAAGCGAACCAACAACAGGTGAACTTTAGAGATCCATATCACGATATAGCCTTCATGATACGATGCGTATCACGATATAGCCTTCATGATACGATGCGTATCACGATATAGCCTTCATGATACGCTGCGTATCACGATATAGCCTTCATGATACGATGCGTATCACGATATAGCCTTCATGATACGATGGGTATCACGATATAGCCTTCATGATACGATGCGTATCACGATATAGCCTTCTCACAGGTACGATTGCGTACTCACGATATAGCCTTCACGATACGATGCGTATCACGATTATAGCCTTCATGATACGATGCGTATCACGATATAGCCTTCATGTACGATGCGTATCACAATATAGCCTTCATGATACGATGCGTATCACGATATAGCCTTCATGATACGACACGTCCATCGCAAAACTTTCAAGAGAACCCACCTAGCAAACTCCTACATCTAACTGGACTCTATCAATCATGTAAACACTGAACAAATTATATTATGGAGCACTTAGTAAACAACTGCTATGGAATTGCATTCTTTGTTATCTTTCTTTTCGTTCTACGATGAAACTACGCAACAAAACAATGAGGACAAACGAGGAAACACAATGCTCGTGGATCTTTCATCGCGCCGTCCATCACCGCTACCGCTACTACCACCTAGAGTG